CCCCAAAACCCCAAAACCCCAAAACCCCAAAACCCCGAGATGGCTATCTATCATTTTTAAAATCAAATTGATAATAACTAAAAGAATAATATTACAAATCAGACAATCTTGAATTTAAATCAATCAGCTTTTAACTTGTTGAATCACGATTCTTTTGCCCTGCTTTAACATCATATTCTAGTCAAAATCATATATAATGCCATCGAGTTCACTGAAATCATCTTTTAATATTTGGCCTTCGACTTAATTTATATTAGCAGAAGAAGACTTGATCTTCAGCATAAAATACTTGGAATCCGATTTGAAATCTCCTTCTACAAAAGCACCTCCTTTCAAGTCAATTACTCCAGTGATTTTTTCAGTTTTTGTATTAAAAGTCAGTTTGACATCTAGTTGCTAGCCTTCATGAAGGTTTTTGCCCTCCTCTTTGATGAATGCCTTGAAGTGTTTTAGTAATAGTTCTTCCGAGCTTGTTCTTACAGATTCAGTTCAAGATTTTGGTGCTTCCTTCACTTCTTCCTAAGACTCTATTATTTGTGGAATAGCCTATGGTGCCTCATCCTCATAAGTTCTTACTGTTTAGGGTAAGAGATACTTTGAATCTGACTCTTAATCCCTTTCCAATTCATCTTTTTCTAAATAATCGTTGATTACTTTATCAATTTCTTATTGGACTTCTGGATCTATCTTGCTGGAGTCATAGATCTCACCTTTTTTCAAGTACTTGACAAATACTTTCTCATCAATCAAGTTTTAAGTAACCTTATCCTCAACAGTTTATTACAACTCTTACTATTCTTAGTCTTAATCGTATTCTACTACTTATTTGTCATCATCTTACAATTATTCCTTGTCTAAACTCCTGACTAGCATTGGTTGCTCTTCTTCTTGTATTTCCTCCATTAAATCCTTTGCTTAAAGCTTATTCTTTCCAGCACTTTTACCAGCGTCATTTTTCTGATCAAATTTAAGATTCAAAACTTAGGCTGAGCTCTCCAATTAAGTATCGAGCGAAATCATTCTGTTCAGAGCCAGTTCGTCTGCTCTATTCATTAGATCCATATCCTCTACTGATGTAAACAAAGGATCCTTCAGGTTATCGATATTTTTAAGACCAATCTTGTCTTCTTTATAATTCTTCTTCTTGAAGGGTGGAGTCTACTACTCATTCATATGGTCTCTAGAGCTCTAAACTGATTCTCTAATGCCACCAGTACCTGAAATAGCAATGTCATTCTTGACAGGAGTACTTTTTAGATCTTATATGGCGGGGTCAATTTAACCTTTAGTCAATGAAGCAATAACATTATTAGAGACCCTCTTTTTTGGTATCTCTCTCACTTCTTTTGAATCACAGCAACCCATGTAAATTATAATAATTTGGTTTAAATAATTTACTCTTCCTATAATTAGTCTTCAAGGGGTTTTGGGGTTTTGGGG